ACTGTGGTTATGGAATAAAAGTGGTTTCCATTACAACATGCTTTAGTAGGAACCCTTCTAGGTATAAGTGGCAGAAAGCCAACGCAAACTGTTTTTTCTTCCCCTTAAAAATAGGAATTTATGGCTTGTGTAACTGGGTTTTATACTATAATGTGGCAACTTCAAAAGTGAAAGACTTACTCCCCTGCTGTCGACACCTCCAGGGAGTGTCTTAGTGAAGAGCACCATCTTGCCCAAGATCATGCATTCATCCCAGCTTCACATCTCCCCACAGGGTTGCTGAGGCCTTCTTATGACCATATGATAAGTCAGCTTCTCCTTCTGCCCACTGCTGTTTTCTTATTTTTCCTTCCTTTATGCGGGCGTGTGCCTCCAAAGACACTCTCATATCAAACTCCTGAGCACTCATCTCCAACTTGGAATGTACTTCCAGGGAACCCAATCTGTAAGAATAACTGAGATATCCAAGTGTCTCAGGTAGATCAGACCCAGAAAGCAAATGCTGTTATATTTGTCTCCAGACCTCTCGCTGCCTCCCCAACTACTGATCTGATTTTGTGTTGGCATGATTCTTATGCAGCTTCTTGGCACAAAGTAGTAGAGATGGTCAGTGGCAGCCACAGACATGCATATTCACAAAGAACAAAGAAAAAAGCTTCACTCTCTCGCCTCCATAGACCCTTTTTGCACCCTCCTTGTGCAAAAAGAACTCTCATTGGCCTTATTTGGGTCAAATACCCATCCCTGAGTTACTATTTCCAGGAGGATGAAGTCCTCTCATTAGTCATCCTTAAGCAAGGGAAGTGGGGCCACGTAACTCATGGGTGCATAGAGAGTGGGAACATGGTAGTTCTGAAAAGAATAGCTTGCACAGTAGCGATAATAGGAATAGAAATCCATTTTTCCTCATTACCAGGAATGAAATTTCTCAGGAATCTTGGTGCAGTAACATACCTGCTTTTCTTCACCATTCCATACATCCTTCTGGAAATAACTTTAGTATACTTTTTTAAAAAAAATTTGACAAAGCTTCCCTGGTGGCTCATATGGCAAAGAATCTGCCTGCAATGCAGGAGACCCAAGTTCGATCCCTGGGTCAGAAAGATGCCCTGGAGAAGAGAATGGCTACCCACTTAAGTATTCTTATCTGGAGAATTCCATGGACAGAGGAGCCTGACAGGCTACAGTCCATGGGATCGCAAGGAGTCAAACATGACTGAGCAACTTTCACTTTCACATGCTTTTTTAATTTGACAAATTGGGAAAGAATTATACTCAGAATGCAAAATCTAGGGATCTCCTGGAGACATGGGTCTGCTGCTCTCTTTTTTCCCTCTGCAAGAGGGGTCTAGGATTTCAATCACAAGCTGATGGTGTTGGTCATTGTCATTACTGCCTGCTAGAAGGGTTGAACACTTTCTTGCATTCATCACAGTCTAACTTGACACTAACAGCTTAGGAGGCAATGGAAGCCCAAGTGACCGGGAGAAGATAAACTGTTAGCTGATGCGTAGAGGTTCAGTTTTCTTCATTCTCCATGTCCAGTCAATACCAGTCAACCAATACCTGTTGCTCCTTTATCAAACTTTCTGCTTGTCTTTTCAAGAGCAGAGCACATTGAAATTAACTTGAACAGTGTTCTCAAAAGGGAAGTTACTTGCTATAAAAGAAAGATTTTACTCTTCATTGCAACTGAGCTCTCTTCCTCCAGCTGTGAAACTGATTGAGGTTAACTCTCTCAAGACATCTCTACTCACAGCCCTGTGATTACTTTTATAAAGGAGAAAAAAGAAGCCATAGGAAGGAATGGTTGATCACCCATAAAAATATTCTTTCTTTTTTGAATTTTCTTCTCAAACTGTGGAGGGAGGGGAAAGGAGTTAGGAAATGTTCAAGGAGCATTCTTTCCTAGTATATGAGTATCTATGGTCCCCTCGCAATTGCTGCCCCAGCAGAGCACAGTCCTCGGGAGGCAAATGACAAAATGTGGGAGAGACTTGAAGTTTAAGATAGGTAGGGCAAAGGGACGATCAGCCAGTAGGTTAGGAAAGAGAGAAGCGGGGAGGGGTGGAGAGGGGAAGACTTTGGCAAGTTTTGTTTTGTTTTTGTTTTTAATTGGGGTATAATTGCTGTACAATGTAGTGTAGGTTTCTGCTGTACAATGAAGTGAATCAGCTTTATGTTTATATATATATATATATATATATATATATATATATATATCCTCTCTCTCTCGGACCTCCCTCACACACACCCCACCCCACCCCTCTAGGTCACCACGGACCACCAAGATGAGCTCCCTGTGCTATATGGCAGGTTCCCACTAGCCGTCTGTTTTACACATGGTAATGTACATATGTCAGTCCTAATCTCCCAATTCATCTCATCTCCCCACCATGTCCACTCGTCTGATCTCTACATCTGCATCTCTATTCCTGCCCTGCAAATAGATTCATCTGAACCATTTTTCTAGATTCCACATATATGTGTTAATACATGATATTTGTTTTTCTCTTCTGACTTACTTCAGTCTATACGACAGACTCTAGGTCCATCCACGTCTCTATAAATGACCCCATTTCTTTCCTTTTTTATGGCTGAGTAATATGCTTCCCTGCTGGCTTAGATGGTAAAGAATCTGCCTATAGTCGAGGAGACCTGGCTTTGATCCCTGGGCTGGGAGGATCTCCTGGAGTAGAGCATGGCAATCCACTCCAGTATGCTTGCCTGGAGAATCCCATGGACTGTACAGCCTGGTGGGCTACAGTCCATAGGGTCACAAAGATTCGGACACAACTGAGCAACTAAGCATAGCACAATATTCCATTGTATTTATGTAGCACATCTTCTTCATCCTTTCATCTATCAATGGGACTACTTGGGTAAGTTTCAAAGACCCTGATGAAGCAGGAATCACCCCTGTGGAAGAGTTTGAGAGTGGCAGGAAGAGAGAGAGCAGATTTTAAGGTGTTTTATTCCTCTTTAGGCATACATGCCTCACTTTTTTAATTCCATGAGAAAATGAGTACAGGTCTGAATTACTTTCTGTATCAGGCAAAGTCCAGTCAGAAAAACAGAAACCACCCTATTTCAACAGAGGGAATTTCATACCAGGGATTTGTTACATGGATGACGTGAAAGTGGAGAATCCCATTGTGGGTGCAGAGGCAACAAAAAGATTACCAGCTACAGGAAGTGGTGACCACCCTCCGGATTGGAGGGAACCTGAGAGGAGCTGGTGTAACTCAAGCCCAGAAGCGAGGGCCATCTGACAGGAGCTGGACCTATAGTGGTGATGACCAGCAGGAGCTCAGCCACAGGGAGAAAGGCTGACTGGTAGGAGCTGGAGTTTCTGGTTAAAAGCAAGCACTTCTGAGACACCTCTTGAAGCTGCAAGCCAGGGGAAGAAGCACTGTGACTCCTGCCTGCTCCTCATCCTCCAGTTTGACTGACCATCCCAGAAGCCAGAGGGCCAAGGAGCCTGGCAAATACAACTCTCTCTAAAACAGAACAAAGAAAGGGTGAGGAATAGATCCCAGAGCAGAGAGGCAAATTACTGACACATAACTTGATTGTCTGTGTTTCTTTGAATTCATCTCTGTGTGTAACTGAACCATGAAGCTGACTGTCCTTGATGTGGGTTACGCATGATTCAAGAGCCATGCAGAAAGTCACAGTTGAGTACCTTTCCTTAAATATTAAAAGGTGAAAAAGAATTACTTTATTCATGGTCACAATTCTGCAGGTTGTCTCAAATGCTTCAGCAGACACCAACCCAAATAGTTCAGGCCTCTCTTTCTCTTTTTTCTTCTCTTTTTCCCGTTTGCTCCTCCAGTTTCTTCTTTTATCTCTCTCTCTGCTCTAGCTGTTGTACAACCACCTTGATGCAATTAGTCAACTTTGAACTCACAGTGGCGTTAACCACCCTACCGTTGTGTCTCTTTCATTTCCTGAAGACTGGGTGGGAGTCGGGGGGAAAAAAAATGCTAAATCAGACTTTTGACATCCACCACCTAGAACATACCTTTGTTCTGACCCTATTTACCTAGCCTGCCTAGAAAAACAGTCTGTCAACCTGGGACTACTACAGCCATCCAAACATTTTGGCCTGTTTGTTGTTTTCTTTTCCCATAGTTGTTTTGGAAGTGATTTGGGATACGGTTGCCACTGTCAGGCTTTTTTATTTTGGTATCATGGTAAAAGTATGGCCAAATTATTTAGGTTTCAAATCCCAACTCCACAGTTTCCTAATTGCATGACCTTGGCCAAGTAACTTAACTGCTCTGGGTCTCAGTTTCCTCATCTGTAAATGTAATCATAATAATAGAAACTACTTTATAAGGTGGAATATTAGAATCAAATTAGTTTATTTACATACTGAATTTGTATATGTGTGTATATGGGTGCCTTTGTGTGTAGACACACATATAGATGTGTATCAACTTTTATATATGTATATGTATGTGTGTGTATGTACATATACATACACACATATGTATCTTAGAAAATTGGCATAAGCATGGTATAAATATCAGCCATCACTATTGTTATTTTTCTCAGTAAGATTATAAATGCTGCTCCAGTCTATCAAAAAAGATCACATCTATCTAATTATTTTTTTTTACCTAACACTAAGTCATGGCTAGTTGGGTGACTTTTAGAAAATTGCCATTTGCTAACCAGTCAGTCCAAAAATTAAATCACTGTGTAATTCACCATGAATTACACTGTTATTTGTCTCTCCATTGGAGAAATTAGTTTCATTTCTCATTATGTTTAATTGTGATTGGATCATTGTAGACTTTTTTCTGTCTTTTTTTTGTGGTTTGAAGATTTAAATTTGTTATGGAAACAAGCTTTTCAGTTGACCAATGATTAGCTAATTTCTGATAATAGAAAAGGAAACAGATTGCCCCAAGGCTGCTGTTTTCATTTCCTCATGGGAAGAAGAAGCATAGCAGAGAAGAAAGGCAAACTCGAGGCATTGAACCTCTGCTACCATGGGGAACTGGGCTGTGAATGAGGGCATCTCCATCTTTGTCATTGTAAGTACCAATAAGAAAGAAATTACAAATTCTCTAACTTGTCTACGTTCTCTTGAAAATGAAAATAGAGCAAAGCTTTATTTCATTCGTTTGAGAAATTGTGTTGAAACTTATTTATGTGAGCATGCATCCATCTGATGGATACAGAATGAGTCCATTCTTCCAAATTTACTCATGGAAGGAATGCATCTAGGGGCTCACTTGGCCTAGTTTATTTCTGGAATTTTTTAGAAGTACTAAATTAGCCAGCATTTCACAGTGGGAGTAGAAGACATTTCATGATAACGATCCCTGAATATGAATTGGTTGCAATGTTAATTCAGAAGCAAATTTTTCTATTTTTTTATGTACTTATACCACCTAAAAATGGGCAATTGAAACTTTATACAGTTTTCCAAATAATAAACACAAGATTGGCTGATGTACAAGAAATTGGCCTGTATGTTCAGTAATTACACCAAAAATAATTGAATTTCTCAATTTTCTCTTTTAAAGAAGTATCTTCTTTCTTCTGAGGTAAACTTTAGTTATTTGTGAAGTTTTTTTTTAAAAAGTCAAGGAAAAGGAATTGAAGTAAACTAGATATATGTGTATAATGTTTGTATGATATATATTACACATAGTTACATGTAAATTAATATAATGTGTCATGAGAAACAACTTTTAAGTAAAGTTATGGTGATTTTTCTAATAGACACGTTGATTTCTTTAGTTTTTGACATAACAAATATCAACTATTATTTTAAGGTGGTGGTCTCAGCAAAACAATCACAGATGGTTGGGATTATAGAAATATGATTTATAAGTAGCTTTTCCAGTAGTCAATAAAAGTATTATTCAGATTTTTAAAAAGGACACCTATGAATGAAATTTTTGAAAGAATTTTTCATGAAGTAAATATGACTATTTTAACTGGAGAGGTAGAAACAAGTGGCACAAGTAAAATAAAAGCCACAATATCTTTTTCATTTAAAAAAATCAAGCCAAATTAACACTAATGAAATACAGAATTGTTCTGAGGACTCAAAGCTCATAAGTTGATTTCTCATTTCTGTTTTAAGAACAGATGACTCCTGTTGAAACTAAGTTCAAATTATACTTTGAGCCCTTACCACAGTTTTCCCAGGGAAATGACCTCTATCTAAATTATGCATTCATATACTTGAAAGTGAAGACATAGCTTGGAAATCAAGAGTAAACATGACAAAGTTAGAAAATGGAGAAGTGGTTTTAGCACCTTCTTTGTAAAGAGAGACTGTTCTCCAGCATTGAAGGACATTAAATAAGCTGAAAGCACAGTTAAGAAAAGATAGCCACTGGGGACCTAAGGTAGAGCACCGGGCAGGGTCATTGTTGGATGCAGTCAGTGCTTGAGATGAAATGAACACTCACAGTCTAGAAGGATCTCCTTTTAATAATAATAATAATAATAAATCCCATGCCTCTCATCCCCTTGGGCTTCCCAGGTGATGCAGTGGTAAAGAACCTGCCTGCCAATTAAGGAGACACAAGAGATGCAGGTTCATTCCCTGGGCTGGGAAGATCCCCTGGACGAGGGCATAGCAACCCACTCCAGTACTCTTGCCTGGAGAATCCCATGGACAGAAGAGCCTGGCAGGCTACAGTCCATAGGGTCACAAAGAGCTGGACACAACTGAAGCAACTTAGCATGCAGTCATCCCCTCATTGATGCTCACTTGAAGCAAAATTCATCAAGTAGAATTAAAGACTGAGGAGAGTCCCGCTAACTGGGGCAAGATGCTGTGTGACGGAGGGAGATCTTCCACCTGTGAGAATTGAGAATCAAACACAGAGTCCTCCTGGTGTGAGAGACAGCATAGTAACAGATTCCTTTCCCTTTGAGTCACTTGCTATCATCTATCAACCTAAGAGGAGGAGAAAGAAATAAGAAGAGATAGATAATAACAGCATAGTGGCCAAGTAGTAGAACAGTCACAGGGGACAAGACAGAGTGGAAAGGTTACTACCAAAGTGCAGAGACACCTTGGCAGGAAAGAGCTGGTTCAAAGCTGGTTCCACCCAGCTTTGTAACCACCTTTACTGAGGGCTGTCCATGGGGAAGTCCTGACCCTGGTCTGACTCCAACTTGGTGTGAAATTTGCCTGTTGAAACTTGAAAACTTCACACAACCATTTCTATTTGTGCAGCTGGTATGGCTGGGGATGAACGTCTTCCTCTTTGTCTGGTACTACCGGGTTTATGATATCCCAGATAAGTTCTTTTACACTCGAAAACTTCTTGGGGTAAGTATAAGTTCCATTTCCCATGGTATTGACTGGCTCCCATGTCTAATCATAGATTCTTGTTCCTATTCCTCTTAACATTTTAAAGAAATATTCTGACGAACCCAACAGCACCATCGGCCTCAGTCCCTCCATTGTAACCCCCTGAGCAAGAGTCTTTAGGTCCTCCAGTGTGGGACAAACAGAAGGCTGGCAGAAGGTCCCAGCAACCTTCCCCTCCCAAGAACTACTGTGCACCTGTTTAGCTTAAAGGAGAAATCTAATACTGACTCTGGAATGGGTGGCCAGCTTGAAGAGATCCATCCAGGGTGATACAGGTGGCACAAGTGGGACTGTCTGTATTCTCTAAATCATCAATTCCTACTACTTTTTTGCATGAAAAGCCCTAGTGACATGTAATGAAATAATCTTCAGGAAATAAGCCTCCCCCTACATATGGAGCCTTTGAGGAACTTGCCCAAAGGTCACATCCGTTGACTAGACTGGTGGAGCAAAGGCCCCTGCCTTTCCTTGGGTCTATTAGCATTCTCAGTTTCCTTGAACTGCCAGAGTTCTCCTTCATCATAAATGAAATAATTACAATTAGGGCTGCCTCAGAGGATGTCATTTGTTACATCATGCTGAAACCACAAATTGATTACTTAATGATACTAATTATAATATGTATTATGCATCATATGCATAAATACTTATAGCATATAATTATACTATGTTATTATAATTGTTGTTAATTTATTCAGGTTGATGCTGAAAAGGATGATTTCCTTTTGCATTTTCCTCCCCCCATATTTAATTGCATATATGCAGTTTCTTTAGACATTACAAGGAACAGTTTTTTTTTCCTCATTTATTTTTATTAGTTGGAGGCTAATTACTTTACAATATTGTAGTGGTTTTTGACATACATTGACATGAATTAGCCATGGATTTATAAGGAACAGTTTTAATGCCAAAGCATTACACCATACCAACTTAGTTACTGTTGAGGTTAGTCTAAGTGCTAAGAAAATCTTCTTTACAAAGCCCCAGTTTCTATACTGAACTCTAATTAATGATATGCATACTGAGGTATTTAGGAGGAAGTGAACTGATGTCTGCAACTTGGAAACGCATCAAAAATAAGATGCATTGATGGATGGATGGATACAGAGGTAGGCAGATGAATGGATAGATTAATAGACATGCTAAAGCAAGCTTCATAAAATGTAAAAGGTAGAATCTGGGAGATGAATAAACAGGTATTCATTGTGAAATTATTTCAGATTCTCTTTGTGTTTGAAAATGTTCATAATGAAAATGTTGGGGTGGGGAGCAAGGCCTTAAAAATAAATCCTTGGCTCTGAAGAACCTTCGTTCCCAGGTAACTTGATGTCTCTGGAGTATGGTCCTCGTGCTTGCTGGGAAGCCTGGAGGTTGGGGGGCTGGAGTGAGATGGGGGAGTTTTCTGGGCTCACAAGAGTCACCTGCTTTTCATCCTGCCCTTTTCAGTCAGCACTGGCCCTGGCCAGAGCCCCTGCAGCCTGCCTGAATTTCAACTGCATGCTGATTCTGCTGCCTGTCTGTCGAAATCTGCTCTCCTTCCTCAGGGGTTCCAGTGCGGTAAGAACCAACGTTTACAAAGTTTGAGTTCCTCAAAATCTCGAAGGCCATCAAGCTCAACGCCCTTTTATAAGAAAAGCAAACCAAGGGTTTATAAGAATTCCAACCACTGCACAATATTCATTTACAATCAAGCCATGCTTGATTCTCTATTTTTATATTATCTGTCAATGGAGCTCCCTGAGACAACCTTTTAACCTGGAACAGACATTGAAAACAAAACAAAACCCCCCAAAAAACAAAACAACCAATCTACCTATACCTCCACAATAGCAAAAAAGTACATGTACACACACACACAGACAGATATACATAATATGACATATCTGTATATATACATACATATAGAAATTTATGAGACTGATGTGAAATTTGGGGATTAATCTCATAGTGTCATGTTTTTCAAAATGTTTAAGTCAGAGAAACTCTCTTTGGTGGATAATATCCCAAGAAGATGGGAACAATGAATGAGCCATGAATCACTATGCAATGAATGTGACAGGTGTTTGGTCCATGGAATTGAGGAGTTCAGAGCTTTCTAAATGCCCCAGGCTCTTTCACCCTCACTTCAACAGTCTACTGAACCCCTAATATACTATGCTGGAAGAAAAAAAGATTATGTAGGAAGAACTTTTGTAATCTGTAAAATGGTATACGAATTTCTTATTGTTATACAAAGATGAGAAGCAAGGAACTTGGAATCTACATACATACTCAAATATGATACAAAGAAAAATGTGATGGGTTCCACAAAATGTTACAAAGAAGGAGCTACAGGGAATCAAGCAAAGGCAAAGGAAATTATATCAGGTGATGCAGGGGCTGAAAAAAGAATTCTTAGAGAAGGTAGCATCAGGTATGGGCATAAAGGATAAAAATAAGCCTGTAGGAGATATAAAGCACAGGAAATGGTGAAGAAATCATATTCTTGAAAGTCCTGTGTGATCCTGACTTGTGGCTTCTCTTTGGCTGTGTTGGCCATTCCTGACCACACCACAGAGGGTAGCTCTTCCAGACTTAGGGACTGATGCCTGGGGGGACCCATTCCACTGCTCATTAGTGACTAGTTGCCTCTGTTTGGGGGCTTCCCTGCCAGCTCAGTGGTAAAGAACCTGCCTGCAATGCAGAAGACCCAGGTTCAATCCCTGAGTCAGGAAGATTCCCTGGATTAGGAAATGGCAACCCACTCCAGTATTCTTGCCTGGAAAATCCCACGGACAGAGGAACCTGGTGAGCTGCAGTTCATGGGGTTGCAAAGAGTTGGACATGACTTAGCATGCATGCAGCCTCTGTTTTTCGTTTTAATAAAATGCTCCTTTTATATTAACTAGCTTTTTTTAAAATGACCTATTAAATAGAAGTCATTTATAGTGGAGAGAAGCAAGCAATCTACTTTGATGAGAGTGTAAGGATTTTAAATGGTAGATACCTGAGGTCAAGTTGGAGTTTTGCTAGTAAACTTGGACCTGAAATGTATAGCTTAGGTGTTAATCTTAATTGGTAATCAATGACTCCATGGGAGACGGAAAGTGATCTAAACTGTCAATAACAATTAGAACTTGCCTTGAACTCTACCTCGCTTTTCGCTAGTCTTACTAAATTCACTTTGATCCTAAGGAGATTTTTTTTTCTTTAAGAACTATAAAACACTTGATTTACAAATATAGGGTTAACAAGCCATAAGTAACACATTGATCACAAGGATTTCCAAAATAATCTTAACCTAAGAAACCACAGAGGTAGAACTCCATTTGATGGAAAAGTTTTCTTTTTTATTGAAGTATAATTGATTTACCGTGTTAATCTATGCTGTATACCAAAGTGACTAAGTTATATATATACATACATTTTCCTTTATATTCTCTTCCATTATAGTTTATCACAGGACATTGAATATAGTTCCCTGCTCTATACAGTAGGACCTTGTTGTTCATCCATTCTAAATGTAATAATTTATATCTGCTAATACCAAACTCCATCCCTCCCCCACACTCCTACCCTTTGGCAACTGCATGTCTGTTCTCTATTTCTGTGATTCCATTTCTGGTTTGTAGATAGGTTCATTTGTGTCATATTTTAGATTCCACAGATAAATATCATATGGGATTTTTCTTTCTCTTTCTGACTTTTTTAACTTAGTATGATGATCTCTAGGTGCATCTATGTTGCTATAAATGGCATTATTTTGTTCTTTTTTATGGCTGAGTAATATTTCATTGTATATGTGTACCACATCTTCTTTATGCATTCATCTGCTGATGAGCATTTATTTACGTTGTTTCCATCTCTCAACTACTGTAAACAGTGCTGCTATGAACATAGGGGTGCATATCTTTTTGAATTATAGTTTTGTCTGGATATATGCCAACGAGTGGAATTGCTGGATCATATGGCAATTGAAAAGTTTTCTTGAAGGGCGACCTGTAAAGTACAACATCTGGACATTTTCTAAATGAAATTCAGGGACTGTAGCTGTTTTATTCTCCCCCAATACCTCCTGCTCAAATAGTTTCTATTTAGAGGAAGTAAACCCTGAGAAACAGGCGGTGTTTTCACCAGGACAGCCTGTTAAGAAATCCTTGTTACTCCACAGGCTCAAATTGCACTGCCATTTCATGGCTATTATCAGCACATGTTGTAATGGCCGCTTTTAGGCTTCCTGGGACCTAAAGGGAGTGAGAGGGTCTCTAAAGACAAGGGTGAAATGAGGCTATTCTTCAAATTGCAGAGAAGTTCAGCTCTCTAGCTAGAGAGACCTGTACATCAAAGAATGCGTTTTTCAAAAAGGAGGAGCAAGTAACATTCTTTTATAGATGGGGTGTGTCCTTCCTTGCAGATTTCCCAACCTGAAATGTGAACTTGGCAAAGAAACTTCTTTTCTGATTGGGATTAAAATGAGTGGACATACTGTGACTCATTGGTAACCGTAACAGCTGCAACTTACTGAGTCTTCATAAACCTTACCTCCATGAAATCTGCATGTCATGCCAGTGAGGTGGGGATGAAATTCAATGAGTGTTGAGGTTCCAACCCAGGCATTTGTGCCCCCACAGCCTGTCCACTTTCCCACTTGCCACCTAAACTCAAAACTCCTGTGGTCTTAGGAAGTCCATCAAATATATGAATGTTTGGGCAGGCTGAACAAATTAACCTAGAAGTGGCAAGGATGTTGTAGATTCAAGGATTTATTAGTTGGCCTTTATGAAAACTAAACAGTCACAGAACTTCAGTGTCTAATGGTCTTAATCCTTTAGAGCTGGCTTTATAATCCTTCTGGTTAGCTGGAGAAAGAAAGTCCCAGGGTTGGCCTTTCCCAGGGAAGATAGGGGTAAACACTCTGAGCCTGGTCTGTTGAGGGAAATAGGGAATGGTGGGACTCAGCAGACAGAAGTCCCTAAAGAAACCTTAACAACCTCAGCTTGGATGGAAGTTCTAGTCTGAAGATCGGAAAGAAACAGAAATGTGAGAGAGTGAGCTCTTTTCTATAACCTTATATAGCCTGAGAGTCAGAGGCTCTCAATGTAGCCCTCTATCTAACATGTGGTCCAGGGCAAGGCTCTTAGACTTCCTGTCTCGTAGCTGGTTTTTTTTTTTCTTCTCTTTGTTGTTGTTTTTAGCTAAAAAGCAAATGAAATAATGTGAATGTAAGAACAGATATGAATGATATTCTAAAAGTGTATTGATTGACTAAGTCTGTCAACTAGTGAGTTGTCAGTGAACAAATATTTGTTGAGTGCCAACTATGTGCTAAGCACAGGGACACATAGTGAGTAGAGGGTAAGACATGGATGAGCCATGAGCTCAGAGAGCTTAAAGTTTTATGGAAGAGATAGAAGATAAACATGGAATTTTAAAATTATAGACAGTGCTATACGAATCCAGTGGTGATCTTCATATTTATAGCATATTCTAATGCTTCCAGGTTTCTGTCAGCTTCTTTGCCTGAGTTCTGTAGAGTCAAGGCTGGCTTTGCAATTTCTCTCAAATTGCATATAAATATCTAATTCATATTCATTTCTGGCATTTGTGGTGAGACCAGGTGTACATAAAATAGAACTTTAAAGTTTCCGTAACACTCATGTTACAGAAGCTAATGTTATGCTCCATTAAATATGTAGTTCTGTAGTTTGTAGTTCTGTTTCTCAATTTTTTTAATTTTTTTTACTCTTTCAGTTTGAGTCAAGCATAGAAATCTGCCAAGGTGACTGAGTAATCTCCCTTGCACTTGAATGTTAGCTTATTGAGATTGAGCAAGGCTCTAGCTGACAGTAACAGAGGACCTCCCCATTATAAATCAATGGAGTGGAAGTTCCCTGATGGTCCTGTGGCTAAGGCTCCATGCTCCCAACACAGGGGCCTAGGGTTCAATCCCTGACTGGGGAACTAGATCCCGCCTGCCTCTACTGAGGATCCCTCATGCCACAGCTAAGACCCAGCACAGCCAAATAGATAAATATTTTTCTAAAAAAACGAAGTCACTGGTCATTCAGTGAAGAAGCTATGGTGCATGATGGCAGCTTGGGTCATTAGTAGGTGGCTGGTGGTAATTCACAAGTGACTCAAAATCATAAAAATTGTATCTGCATGGTAGTGAGGAAGAATAAAGCCCTGGGAAGTCACAGGCAGCAAAGCCCTCCCTTCCCAACCAACCATCTCACCCACCCCCACCCCCACCCCTTGTCAGGAAACAATGAGGAAATTGGATCTGGAAGCCTGGTATAATCATGATGTATGGCTTCTCTTTGGATGTGTTTGCCATTTCTGACCACATTATAGAGGGTGGCTAGGAAAAAAATGAGGGATTGGTACCCTAGTAAGACCCCATTCTACTAACTCATTAGTGACTACAAGTCTCTATTTTTCCTTTTAATAAAATGTATATGGTGGTGGTTTAGTCACTACGTCATGTCTGACTCTTACAACCCCATGGACTGTAGCCCACCAGGCTCCTCTGTCCATGTGGGTTCTCCAGGCAAGCAAGAATACTGGAGTTGGTTGCCATTCCCTTCTCCAGGGCATCTTTCCTACCCAGGGATCGAACCCGGGTCTCCTACTTGGCAGGCAGATTTTTTACCACTGAGCCATCTGGGAAGCTTCAGTTTTGTTATCTGTAAAATGAAAATAGTAATATTTATCTGGTTATATTAAATGGTGTAGTGATTATGGATAAGCTGCCTGGCTCATAGAAGGCACTCAAAGCCTAATTGTTTTTTTCCCTTTTTCTGGAATCATGTGTCTTCCTTACTAGTATTTCTGCAGTTTCAGCAATCTGCTTTCATGGTCCATTTGGCCTACCCTCCCTAAATGTAACTAACTCCAAGATAGTGGAGTAAGCAGTTTTCCATGTAATTCTATTTTTTCTATAAAACCAGAATATTTTATTAAAAATAAGTAAGTCAAATATTTAATGCCCCTGTATTGAAATTAAATATGTTTAGAACCAGTTATTTATAATACCTAAGTTTTTTGTTTTGTTTTGGGGTTTTTTCACTTTGGTCTCCTTGAAAGTTTTCTGAATCTTTATGCCAGTACATCTACCCTTGGAAACAAAGCAGCAAGAGCAAGCACTTGACTCCTTTTCAGGAAAACAAGGTTCCGATTCAACCAAAAATCACGGGTTTTTTCTCTATTTTGGGCAATGACCTGAATCCAGATTGAAGCATTGAAACCCACAACCTCTAACATATGTTCGTAAGAAAATTACACTAACCAATTCGCCATAATTCCATTGTAATGCCAAGGTAATCATAAAAGGTATGAAATATCAGATTGTTGATATTTCTAGCATCAGGGAACTGGGGTTTAGACCCCAGCCAATTCTGTCACTTATTAACTATGAAACCTAGGGGAAGGTAACCTCTCTATGCCTGTCATGTGGTGATAACAGTGGTACCTCCCACATAGAATTAATGTAAGAATGAAATGAGTCAATGCATGTAAAACACTTCTGCACAAGCTCTTTGTAAATACCCTTGGCTATTATTATTTTTGCTGCGATTGTTTTAATGATTTCCCTTGTTTTGTTGTCTCTATCAACATGTGCAGGTGGACGCTTTTCTACCTCTCATAGTGTGTATTTCCTGGAAGGGTGCTATTCTAAAACTATTCACTTGTTGTAGAACTGTTCATTTGTCTGTGTCCCCACTGGACCTTTGGATCTTTGCGGGCATCCCTGTCCTTATAAAATTTCTATATCCTCTCTTTATTGAGTAAATTAATCTGAACTAGAAGCTACATAGTTTGATGCTTTCTGTCCAAATTCATATATTATACCATTAAGCAATGAATTCCATATGAGGCTTTTCATGTTAATAGTATGAGAACCTAAAACATTTCTTAAGCCAACCATGTTGCTCATTGGCTATTTGACCTATCTGAGCCTCAGTTTTCTTATCTGTCAAATGGGTAGGATGATATAGCTTTGTGTTTTTTTTAGAGAATTGATTGTAATAATTAAATGAGAAAATATGTGTCTCATATCTGACACAGAGAAAACTTTCTTGTTAACAATTACTATTTTTCCCTTTAATCCAAAGTGCTGCTCAACAAGAATTCGGAGACAACTGGACAGGAACCTCACCTTTCATAAAATGGTGGCATGGATGATTGCACTTCACACTGGTAAGTTCATTCAGATATTTGAGATTGCAAAGAAAACTTGAAACCAGAGTATTCCCTCTAAGATACGTTTAAAATAAGAGATCAGCCTTTGAAGGTAGGTTGAGATATTTTTTTGAACGAGTTCTGTTAGAAAAATATTCAACACTCTTTCTGCCATCCCAACATTAGGATTTATTCCTTCAGGTCTTAAAACATTATTCCCTAAGGCTCTTCTGATAAAATCCCAGTGCACTCCCCCTTTTCCACACTTTTTAATGTGAAAACTGTTAGTTCACATATAAGAACTTTTGTTCATTCATTTTTAAAAAAATACTTGGTTGACGCGATTGAGCAACTGAACTGAAGCAATAACAGTCTAGATCAAGAAATGAAACATTATCAGGCTGCAGCTCATTCTCTGGGCTCCTAAGTCACCCCCATCACAGAGAATCACCATCCTGATGACTAACTCCCTTGAATAGCTACTCTTACTTTCAGCTTTATATAAATCAAATTATGCTGTATATGATTATACAGAGGTTTCCTCCATTCACTATCAGCTTCTGAGACCTGTCCATGTAGTTCATTCATTCTCATTGTTGATTCATTGAGCACTGTTTGAACATACTATGATTTATTTATTTATTCTTTTATTGATGAATATTTGTCATAACAGCTGCCTAGTTATTAAAATAGTGCTTTCATTAAAAAAAAATACTTGGTTGAACATATAGATCCATGGATTTCTTGCAGTAACCCTACAAGGACCATAGCCCATAAATTGAGAATCAAAGATAGACATTATGAGCTAAACATTTTATTTTTATTATTGTTTATATATGTATGTATAATAGTATTCATGTATTTATATGTGTTAAATATTTTGTTTTATTACTATAATTATTAAGAAAGTGGTGTTGGTGTAAGAAGGGATCCTTATCAAATCTTCACTGCTTTATCATAGAGTCAGGAAATGGCAACCCACTCCAGTATTCTTACTGGAAAATTCCATGGACAGAGAAGGCTGGCAGGCTATAGTCCATGGGATCACAATGAATCAGACATGACTGAACGACTGAGCACCACACAGACACACATACACACAGGGACTGTAGCCAGAAACTCGGCTCCAAATAAAATTATGTATACCACTCACCCTCTTTGTTTCTCTTCTCTGCCCTCTTTAGCAATTCACACCATTGCACATCTATTTAATGTGGAGTGGTGTGTGAATGCCCGAGTCAACAATTCTGATCCTTATTCAATAGCACTCTCTGACATTGGAGATAAGCCCGGTGAAACTTACCTCAATTTTGTTCGACAGAGAATCAAGGTAAGCCTCTAACTTCCTAATTCAGATGTTCTCTAGACTATTAAAACTGAGGATTAGATTTCAGTGAGTGAACAATTTTACTTGGTCAGAACAGCAACAAGGACAAAAGTAGACTGACTATATCAGAGGGCCAGGTCTGTAGGTTCTAAGAATGTGGCCACAGAGAAAATGCCTCCCATACTCCTGATGCTAAATGTGGAAGGTCACGAGATGTTTTCCAGTTTCTTAAACTCGCCTGTAAGAACGAGTATACATGAAGCCTGGAGCAACTCAGACTTATCCTTGACAAGGCCCAGAAGTCAAAGAAAGCCAGGAACATCGTCTAGTCAAACAAACTTGGGTTTATTACTTACTGCAGCAAAGAAACCTCACACTCTGAGGAAATCTGGGGTTTCTCAGGAGGATGTTGAGAAAGGCTTGTTGTGGGATTTGTGTCAGATGATTTGGGAGGGGTTTCAGAAAACAAGCATTTGCTCTGGGTCAGATTCAGTCCAGTATTGGGGATAGTTACAGCATTAGGTATCTTAATAATTTTTTTTTTCTAGGAGGCAGAAGAATGGGGCTAAGTCTGTAATAGGCTAAGAAGCAGCAGTCATGCGTGTGTTTGTCTTAACTGGTCTTGAATGACAAGGTCACAGAATGACCTTGTCTGATGTTGGTGTTCTATGAAACTGTTTATGTGAAATAGGGAAGCTTCTGGCTGAGGTGTTAATACCAGGTCAGCCACCAGCTGACACCCATCAGCAATGCTTTTCCTCTTTCTTGCTTACAACATCTGATAGGTGGCCTCTGTCTGCTAATTGCTCCAGCAGCAGCCATATGGGCAATCCACAGGCAAGGACTTCTTCCCTTCCAGTAGTTGCTAGAGCCTTCTATGCTCAGAGGGAGAAGGTCGAAATCATCTTCATGTGCCCAGTGGTTGGGTAGGATAGCTGAATCAAATCACTCACTATACACTGAATTCCAACACATTTTCTTGTCTGTTTAGATTACCAAAAAAGTACTTTAATTTTGCAGAGATCATTATCCTCAGGCTGATATTAAAAAATGTGATCTATTTAGGGACAGAATTAAACAGCATCAAATAAAATAGGAATTCTTTTTCTATGATGTCCTGGATGACTTTTCTTTTATTTATACAATGATACATAGAGGCGACAACTTATCAAGTGAGCTGACACTGCAGTGCTGGGCTCAGATCACTCTTCTGATCTCTGTTCCCCCGCCCTTCTGTATGCTTTCATTTTCAATTGCCTGTATTTGTGTTTCTTCCTCAGAGGATTGCCCTGGGGCTACTGGAGGCCCTTTGCCCACAAGCTCCAAGATCTGAAAGGGCCTAGGTAGCTATCTCGCTGAGCTGGTCTTAACCAATAACTGATGCGTCCGGCCATAAAAACCCAGCTTCTTTGCCTCTAGTCAGGATAAACATTGAGGTGTGTTTGACCCTCGGCAGTTTCCCTGCAGCATCAGGCTGAAGATTTGGCCTAAGATCACCCTCTCGGAAAGGACCCTGATGCAGGGAAAGATTGAAGACAAAAAGGGGCAGCAGAGGATGAGATGGCTAGATAGCATCACCGACTCAATGGACATGAATCTGAGCAAACTCTGGGAGCTAGTGGAGGACAGAGGGGCCTGGTGGTCTGCAGTCCATGGGACACAACTAAGCCACTGAACAACACCCTCTTATTTGACTTGACATGTTCCTCTTTCCTGTTCTCTTACCAGTTTCTTCAGGAGCACATTCTTTCAAAATCACTTACCCATGAATCCTCATCTCAGGATCTGGTCAGGAGGAACATAGCCTAAGATGTGGTGTGCCCAGACGACTTTTACAAGCTAAGCATTATAACACTTTCCAAATCAAAGCGAGAAAAGAGCTTCTGACCCTTTTAGGACATAGATTTGACAAATGTCCTTTTTTCTGAATCTGAGAACTACTTCTGTATATCAATTGATACTTCCGATGACATCTCAACCATGTAAGACTTTTAATTTGGAACTATCCATTCTAAGTCTATATGGGCTTCCCTGATGGCTCAGTGGTAAAGAATCCGCCTGCCAGTGCAGGAGACATGGATTCGATCCCTGGGTCAGGAAGATCCCCTGGAGAAGGAAATGGCAACCCACTCCAGTACTCTTGTCTGGAGAATCCCATGGACAGAGGAGCCTAGTAGGCTACAGTCCATGGAGTTGCAAGAGAGTCAGTCACAGCTGAGAGACTAAACAACAATTCAAAGTCTGTACCACCCTGTTGAGGGATGGTTAGGATTATCCAAAGAGGGAAAGAACATACCTATTGCCCTATTCATTGGACACTCTATAGATTGGGAGTCCTGCATCTGAGAGCATACAAATAATGTGTGTGTGTTTGTGTCTGTGTCTGTGTATTTTACAGAATCCTGAAGGAGGCCTGTATGTGGCTGTGACTCGGCTGGCAGGCATCACCGGAGTCGTCATTACACTGTGCCTGATATTAATTATCACATCCTCCACCAAAACCATCCGGAGGTCTTATTTTGAAGTGTTTTGGTACACACACCATCTCTTTGTGATCTTCTTCATTGGTCTCGCCATCCATGGAGCTGAGTGAGTATTTAAACTCCAAGGCCAAGAACTTTATGCCCCTCAGTTCCCAGACATGGTGCTCTGTTAAGAGGCACAGTGACCCTATCTTGGTGTGATCAGCCTGTCTGTTGAGAGAATAAGAGGTGAAAACAGAAGTCACTTTGATAAAAACCACTCAGTACCACTTTAGTTTCTGGTACGCAACTCATAACTATTCATAGTGCAGTATTTATAGCAAGCTTGAAAAATACACCAAAGTTTTGAATATCTTTGCAAGCATATATAAAGCATTCTGAGAGTGCTGGTAGAGTCTTGGATGTCCGCAATGATGTTTCCCATGGCTTAATCCCTCATAAATTAAACAAATTCCCAAACCAGGGAGGGTAATGATTCATCAGGTGAAAGGGTCTGCTGTAGTTCAATGAGTTTTGATTCAAGCCAATCATTCAGTGATTACCTACTGTGTATGAGGGCCAATCTCAGACACAGTCGGGAATACTAGAATGACAAACACATGGTTATTGCCTTCAAGCATCCTAACATAATAAAGGGAAGACCTAGCTTCTATTGAGCATCTGTGACAGACATGTTTCTTTTAACCTGTAAAAGGAAGACATGCTCTTACTGTCCTCATTTCCTGGGGAAATGATAGACAAGGAAACAGACTTTGAAAAGGTAAGTACAGGGTTGACCAGAAAGTTAATTTGGCTTTTTCTGTACCATCCTATGTACAAACCCAAATGAACTTTTTGGCCAACCCAGTATGTAGCCAAGCCACCACCAGTTTACCAGTGGTTTAGATGGGATTGGAGCTCAGAGGGGCTAAGGCAGGCAGCAATGAATCTGTCCTAGAGACACTCAGTGCCTGGATGTGCGGTTGAGAGAGTTTGCCTTATTGGGACCCCTGTTTCATACCAGGCTTCCTTTTTCTACTGTTTCACACTAGCTGATTCTCCCACCTGCACGCAAAAGCAGGCCTGGGAAGTTCCCCAGTGGGTACGGGGCTGCAGATAACTAAGAGTAGAGGAAGTAGGTGCTCAAGCCTCAGTGACTCTGCTTTGAGTCAAGTCAGCCTAGAAGGGGCTGAGACTTGAGTATGAAAAGGGGAAGAGTGGGGGAAAGCAGCCTGTGGCAACTCCTCATGTGGATTCTTTTTAAAAAATGTTTTATTGAAATACAGTTGAGGTACCATGTCATGTTAGTTTCAGGTGTACATCAAAATAACTCACACATTCTTTTTCATCTTCTTTTCCATTATGGTTTATTACCAAATATTGAATATAGTTCCCTCTCCTCGTGTGCATTCTTGATCAACTTGCAGACCCTGACCCCTGGTCATCCCTTTCTAAGCACTGAAATATCTGTATAGACAAAGACTCTTTCAGTTCAGTTCAGTCACTCAGTCGTGTCCTGCTCTTTGTAACCCCATGGATTGCAGGATGCCAGGCTTCCCTATCCATCACCAACTCCCAGAGCTTACTCACACTCATGTCCATAGAGTTGATGATGCCATCCAACCATCTCATCCTCTGTTGTCCCCTTCTCCTCCAGCCTTCAATCTTTCCCAGCATCAGGGTTTTTTCAAATGAGTCAGCTCTTCTTCGTATCAGGTGACCAAACTATTGGAGTTTCAGCTTCAGCATCAGTCCTTCCAGTGAATATTCAGGACTGATTTCCTTTAGGATGGACTGGTTGGATCTCCTTGCAGTCCAAGGGACTCTCAAGAGTCTTCTCCAATGCCACAGTTCAAAAGCATCAATTCGTTGATGCTCAGCCTTCTTTATAGTCCAACTCTCACATCCATACATGACTACTGGAAAACCCTCTTAAACCAATGAGTATCTTTAAATGGGACTCAGTCATCATCCAGTTGTTTTAGAGAATCCTAGAGAAAAAAAATTAATCTCTTCCCCCCTCTAGCTGAGTAATTCCACCACTTTACATTTGTATAGATTCATAAATTTGTATCTTTTTTTTTTTGGCCTCGGATCATGTGGTATCCTAGTTCCCAGCCAGGGATTGAAACTGTGCCCCCTACATTTGAAGTGCAGAGACTTAATCACTGGACTGCCAAGGAAGTCCCTCATAGATACGTATCCTACTGTGGAGCAGGCAGAGGACAGATATGTTCCCTGTTCTCCATCTGAGGAGAATCTGCCACTTACACTGGTTGACTGATTACTTAGTCTCATAGCTAGGTAGCAGCTGAACTGGGATTAAAATGCAAGTTTTCTGACTTCCGGTCGTGGCACTGAAAGAGAAGAAAGTCAGATTTTTTTTTCTATCACTCCCCATGTGATCTTGAGCATTAAGAACTCTAATAGTTACCATTTGTTTTGTTTTGTTTTTCAAAAATATGTATGGATGATCCAAAACTTACCCTGTAGATGTAATGTTACATATAAATATCCTTTGTGCCACCATACATGGTTTTCCTTTTTATTCTTTTCCTCTTTTTTTGGCTATGCTGCCCAGCATGTGGGATGTGGGATGTGAGATCTTAGTTCCCAGACCAGGGATCAAACCCACATCCCCTGCAATGGCAGTTTGGAATCTCAACCACTGGATTTCCAGGGAAGTCCCCATATAATTTTTTTTCTATTGCTAAAGATCATGCATTTTTCCCCTTCCTCTAATCTATTTGGAGGGGACAATAAGATATTGCTTTTAAATGAAAAGTATAAGACCCATATTAGAATACTAAAAACATGTTCAGAATCTCAAAAAATTAAGAACTTAATGTCTCATTTCTAAATGATCAGGACTTACATTTCCTCCTCAGGCGGATTGTACGTGGGCAGACTAACGAGAGTTTGTTGAAACACCAACCAAGAAACTGTTATCAAAACATCTCACAGTGGGGAAAAATAAAGAACTGCCCAATCCCGGAGTTCTCTGGGAACCCTCCTATGGTACGTACAACCCATTGTTGCTATCATAGTTTCATTACCTACAATCTTCAAACTGCGTCTAAGAAATACATACAAATGTCATAGAGTTGTCCATTATGAATGTCACAGAACTGCTAGGATAAGTATCCAGTGTTTTTCTGCTATGCTGATTGTCTAGAATTAGTTCTTGAAAAGTAACCTAAAGGTTACTTTTTACATTAGTCTGTTATGAGCATCCTGATATAAAACTTGGAAAAGTATTGTTTTTTTAAAGAGCATTTGGATTCAAGAACTTCTATCTCTTCTGGATAAGATGGCCATGATAATATCAGTTAATGATTTTCAGAGGGATTCCATCCTGAGCTGAATTGGGAAGCTCAGATAATGATTTATAATATAAGGAGCCAGGAGACTCTTCAGATACCAGGAAATAAGATTTTCTATCCAGCTTTCAGAGCTGGGTGGAAATTTGTAAGATGGTACATAGGGCTGCCGTTAGGTATCAGGAAGTCCTGTCTGTGAATAAAGGAGACTGGAGAGCTAGGTTCATGCCAACACCCAATGGCACTTCATGGTAGAGCAGGAGTATGGCAAGGGTGACCAAGGGAAAGGATGCTAAAATATTTCCCTTTTGTTGGGAACTCTCAAGAACTCCATTTTGTTTATTCTCAATATCTCTGTTTCATAGAGTGAGAAGTGAACCCCGTGATTTTCATACCTTTTCCCCCATTGGCAAGCAATACACGTTATCAGTTATTATCTTAGCTATTGGTATAAAACTAAGCAAAAATCAACATTTGTACAGGTCTTCTGAAAAGGATCATTAATTGTGTCCTTAAACACAGTATAATATAAAGGCAAATTTCCCATCCCATTTCTCCTTCCTTTTTCCCTACTCTCCTAATATAGGAGTACTCTTCCTCTAGAAACAGCATGCTGTCTGAGGACTTAACATCTTTCAGCATCCTTACTCATTAATGAAAGTAACCAGACACGTCACTGAACTACCCTCACTACATAGAGACATCAGTTGTTGTTGTTGTTGTTGTTGATGTTGTTGTTGTTTTAGTCACCCAGTCTCATCCAACTCTTCGCGGCGCCATGGACTGTAGCCCACCATGCTCTCTGTCCATGGGATTCTCCAGGCAAGAATACTGGAGTGGGTTGCCATTTCCTTCTCCCGGGGATCTTCCCAACCCAGGGACTGAACCCACATCTCCTGCATGGCAGGTGGATTCTTTACCACTGAGCCACCAGGGAAGCCCCGAGACATCAATAGAAAGGATTAAAAGGGAACTGTATTGCAGGTCCTCTTATGAGTTGGGGAAGGCACATTTCCTTGAAGACAGCTGGAGTCAGAATGCTACTACCTTAACAGACACCTCAGAAATGCTCCTGGGTTTCTGGGAAGATTAGAGGTGATATCCAACACCTGGCTCCATTCAATGTGGCCCCAGGTGGCCCCCAGGAAATAGATGGATAAAGTTGGATGGTTTGAAAAACCTGTCCCATGAAAATGAAGGCCAGTAGCAGAGAATTTATGACCTCCGGACAGATATTTTTCAACTTTGACTGGAGATAGGTCTATTTGGGTGCTCTCAACTTCCAAAAATAAGTTTCTTAAAAATTTTCATAGAAAGCTCATACATGAGAGTCCGGAAAGTCCTCTGGGGTTTCTTCCCCTCTTGGAATCCCTTCTGGAATGTCATATTTTAGATGGTATCACCTACTAAAATTCTTTGCTACTTCAGATATTCAACTAGGAGAACCTAACTGACTGAATCCCAGGATGGATCTGTTTGGTCTAAATATTTTTGGACAGCCAACAATGCCACAGAGTAATTCCAGTGGTCTGAAACATTGCAGATTCTGACAAGAGGGGACTTTAGAAAAAGCTGAAAATCTCTGGATCTGTCCCTATTCAGCAAGTGCATTGCTTAGCTCTGAGAACTTGCCAGAATATTGGAAAAACAGCTAAATTCTTACATGAAATTTCTCATCTTGTGACGAATTAAGTTTTGACTATGTGACTGAGAGAAAGTAATTGCAATGTTACATTAAAAATATGATGTTGTTGAAATGCTATCCTTTAGAGAAATGTTAATTCCGAAACCAACTTTACTCTGCTGTAGGACTATTGCAACTCCTATTGCAACAATAGGAGGAAATCCCATTCTTGTGGGCAGTTCCTCTTGGGAGAGTTTCATACTGTAGATATAGTTCCCCAATGTGACCAAAGAAAATTTTCATTTTTACTGGCTCAGAAATTTATGTTAACTTTAGGTATTTTCATGCATTCTCTTATAGAAGAAATTTACTAATACAATATCAAATATTTAAACAAGCCCACAAATATTAATTGCATTTCTGAAATGTTTTGTCCCTGTGAATCTTTTTTTAACTACCACCCCTTAACACACACTTTTTTTCATCATTTGTTCTGATTACAGACTTGGAAATGGATAGTGGGTCCCATGTTCCTGTATCTCTGTGAGAGGTTGGTACGGTTTTGGCGATCTCAACAGAAGGTGGTCATCACCAAGGTAGGCACTGACTTAGGAATGACTGTCTAACTATATCATGGACAAGTCTACCCAAGTTCTCTACAACACTGTCAGAGCTGTCTTTTACTTGGTTTCTTTTGATTAAACTTAGGGCAGAGAGATGACCTATGGTTTGTTTCAATGCCCCTAGCCTGATAATCAAATGATTGGATCTTTTCATTGGGGAAACTAGAATTTAACATTTTCTGTTGAAAAATGAACACAAATGTTTCATGTAAATGAATTTGTGTGTGTGTGTGTGTGTGTGTGTGTGTGTGTGTTAAGGGGAGAGGCATGAGGGATGATGTAATTAGTTAAGAGTAAAGAAGCAAAAGAGATGAGTTCAAAAGGTCACAAAGGTCATTTATTGAGCCTTAAAATGTTCAGATGCCAAAAGAATCCAGGAACCAGGGCAGGTCTTACTGAGATAGAGATTATTCACCAGGTCCTCTTTGCCTCCTTCTCTGTGCTTTATATGTAGTAACAGAATATCAGAGGTAATGTCTTCAAAGTCTTCAGTAAGCTAACTAAACTTCATTGAGAGTTGAGTCTGGTAACTTCAAATATATAGCAGTTTATTCCCCTCATGTCCATGCCACTTCTTATCACTAAATAAATAAATATCTAAATAAATAAATAGAAATAGAATCACCTTATTGTAGTTTCAGGAAACATCAGACAAGACTATTTTTATCAAATAAAGTTGAATTCAATTCAGTTCAGAAAGTAGTTACCAAAGTTTACCATGGGTTGCTTTTGCAAAACACACAAAACCTTCCTGTCCACCTACCTCTTCTTTCTGGACCTCTATGGAAGGTCATAGGAATGTAGTCCAGCTGGCAATGGAGATCTTGAAATATAGGAAGCCACAACAGTTCTCCTTTTATGATATTTATATTGTATGAGAAAAAGCCCACAGATCAGCAAAAAGAGCCACCACAAAATTTCCCTTACTCGACTAAAATGAACTAACCAGACAAGTATTTCTGCTTGGCCTATTTCTAAGGCACACTTGTTTTCCTGTGAATAAAATGAATATCTGTTTTCTTCTCATGTCAACACATGTAAAGAACGAAGTACTATCCAAAAGTATTTTGTGACTGTGTTGTCCACTAGGACATTTTACTCCCTCCTGTCCCAGCATTGCCTGCAGTGGCAACATTGCAATATGGTAAAAATCACTTTCACCACACAAAATTGCAATGTGAGCAGCATAATTTTCAAAGTCATTTTCATCAATCTTTATTTTCTGTTTTCAAAATGAAGCTTTACACCTCCTTAATTCAATGATGAAGGGACATGAGTTGCAGCCTTGTCATTTAAGTTACATTTGGATCACAAACTTTGGAAACATTTGACAATTTTTCTTCAAAGGATTTCCCATTCTCCTACTCCTCACTCATGAAAAGAAAAGCTCAGCAGTATCAGTCAACATTGTGCTCAGTCCCTTCAGTCATGTCTGACTCTTTGCAGCCCCATGGACTGTAGCCTATCAGACTCCTCTGTCCATGGGATTTTCCAGGCAAGAATACTGGAGTGGGTTGCCATGCCTTCCTCCAGGGGATCTTTCCAACCGAGGGATTGAACCAGTGTCTCCTATGCCTCTTGCATCGCGGGTGGATTCCTTACCACCGAGCTACCAGAGAAGCCCCTCAGTCAAAGTTAGGAGACTGCTATTTTGTTTCTATTGATTTTCCTTTCCTTTGATGTCCCTTGGTTTGTTTTCTGTTGTGCATATAAAGTCCTTCTAAGATCTCAGGAATCATCACAGAAACAGCATATTACAATGAAAGCATTTTGTTGTGTTCTATTTTTATTTTTGTTTACCGACTCACCAGTTGATGGGCATTTGGACTGTTTCCAAATTTTTTTGCTATTGTAAACAAAGCTATTATGAACATTCAGGTACATGGAGAACGAACAACGGGTGGGTGGGGCTTGGCTTTGGGAGAGATGGACGGTGTACTCCCCAAGTAGAGAGAAACAGAAACAATGCATGAAATCAGGCAGGCTCAAGGTGGGACTTGGGACAAAGACAGACCAGCACCTTAGGCTTGGTTTGGGGGACGTTGCTATACAACTAGTCAATGGGGTCGCCTTCTGCCTCTGTCTGGCTGCTGAGACTCTTGATCATCCCCTGGGGAAACAGGAAGGCTGAGTAGAAAACCATCTACCATCTCTTCTTCCTGTTTCTAGCCACTGCCTTGATTTCTTAGAGGAAAAGAAAAAATCACAATAAGCTGGAGTCTTAGGGTGAATTCCCCAGCCAAGACTCAGACAGAGAACTGCATGCAGAAAACTTACTGAGGCAGGTTCTCAGGAGATGAACTTGTGAAAGAAAAAAGGCAGGACTGAGGGAAGGAAATGGGTGGCTGTCAAAGTGGTTGCAACTGCAGCCTCAGCGGATCCTACAGGAAGTGCTGGAGCTGGGATGGCCCCCGGGAGTTGTCCCAAAGTGAGGACAAGGGCCAGGCCTTTGGGTCCCTGCATCAGAGCTCATTGTGGGCCACTGGCTACAGCCGAGGGCTCTTCCCAGTAAGAGATTCGTTTGCTGGAAGAACTACTCTGTTGGCCCTGAAGAAGGGACATGGGTGAGGCCTCTTTGCTCAGCCTCTTATCCATACAGACACTAACAGGACAAGTACTGGGAGAAAGGGGCATTTCCAGAGACATGTTTTATTTCCATAGGTGGTCACTCACCCTTTCAAAACTATTGAGCTTCAGATGAAGAAGAAGGGATTCAAGATGGAGGTGGGCCAATACATTTTCGTCAAGTGTCCCATGGTGTCCAAGCTGGAGTGGCACCCTTTCACCCTGACCTCTGCCCCTGAGGAAGACTTCTTTAGCATCCATATCCGCATCGTGGGGGACTGGACAGAGGGACTCTTCAAAGCTTGTGGCTGTGATAAGCAGGAGTTTCAAGATGCCTGGAAACTACCAAAGTGAGTACAGAGTGCCTGTTACAAAGGTGCATGAGTTCAGGAAAAATGTCACTAAATAGCTTTGCTTCTCACATCTCTTACTCCAGTAGCCCCTGAGTCTTGACAAAATACACGGATTCTACAAACAGAAGTAACGTTCTCTGTGTTCCATATCTTACATGTGGTGAAGTGTTAGTCTTTCAGTCGTGTCCGACTCTTTGAGACCCCATGCAGTGTAGCCCACCAGGCTCCTCTGTCCATGGAATTCTTCAGGCAAGAATACTGGAGTGGGTTGCCATTTCCTTCTCCAGGGGATCTTCCCGACCCAGGGATCGAACCCTGGTCTCCTGTGTCTTCTTCATTGCAGGCAGATTCTTTACCATCTGAGCCACCAGGGAAGCTATTTATGCATATTGTATAAATCTTATGTAAAATATAAAATATTTGAATCATATGTTAATCATGGATATTCCCCAATGCCTTTACATTTGTAAGGGTCAAGGTCAAGGTATATTAACTTTAAATCAAAGCTATACTTAAAATTTAATTGCTGTACATTATTTGAGGGGAAATGCCAGGAGGTGCTAGTGGTAAAGAACCCACCTGCCAATGCAGGAGACATAAGACACTCTAGTTCGATCCCTGGGTCGGGAAGAGTCCCTGGAGGAGGGCATACCAACCCACTCCAGTATTCTTGCCTGGAGAATCCCATGGACAGGTGAGCCTGGCGGGCCACAGTCCATAGGGTCGCAAAGAGTCAGACACGACTGAAGTGACTTAGCATGCATGCATGCCAGATATTACTCAGTGAGCTTCCTTCTTCCCACATGCCTAACATGGCATCAGGTACTTAGTAGATGCTGAAGAAAACTTGGTCAAATAACTCAATGACTAGACAAATGGAAAGTGGAGATAATAAATTTATTAGATATTATAGTATGGAGAATTCTCACTTTAATGTGCAAGAATTTCAAGTGCAGGCTGCCCTGGCAAAACACAGACATATGTGTGTGAGTGTGTATGTGGAGTGTGTGTGTGTGTGTTTGATGTGTGAAGGGAGGTACAGGAAAAAATACCCCTAAGAGTTACCACATGTTTTCAGTTAGCTAAAATTTCCTCTTCTTACTTCCAATCCCAATGTTCACACCAAGTTGGTTACTTGAAAGCCATCTCACAGAAGAAAGTGCCACATCATCAATACATTGTCCCGGTTTAAAGTGATGTATTGCACACCCCCAGTGATAATGTGTGCCCCCTCCACCTCTGAAGAGCAAGACATCTGTGTAACCATCTCCCCCCATGCTTCCCTCCAGGATAGCTGTTGATGGGCCCTTTGGCACCGCAAGTGAGGATGTGTTCAGTTACGAGGTGGTGATGTTAGTGGGAGCAGGGATCGGGGTCACGCCCTTTGCATCCATCCTCAAGTCGGTCTGGTACAAATATTGCAATAAAGCCCCAAATCTGAGGCTCCAAAAGGTAGGTTCTTTCTTTTTTTCAAAGAGCTTGGACTGGTCATCACACTCTGCCAAGTGAAGCCTCAAACAGCCATCAGGGCAGTGGCTGGCAGAGATCAGGCAAAGTGAAGACAGTTCTGGGTGGTTTCAGAGAGGCAGGCTTCTCACAACAGGGCTATTTGATAAATTAAAGGTGTCTCTGGGACTTATCTGGTGTTCCAGTGGTGACTCAGCACTTGCACTGCCATGGGTTTTGGGTTCGATGCCTGGTTAGGGAGCTAAGATCCCTCAAGCCTCGCAGCACCACCAAACAAACAAACAAATAAATGTGGTTCTATAGAATCAGGCCTATTATTGAAAGTAGTATACCGTATTTGTGTAGTATTACTAGAAATTCAGAAGAGAGAGCTAAAGTTTTCACAGTCCCAATCCAGTAATTCTCCTTTTGGTAAATTCTCTTCCAACATTTGTCCACTTGTTTATACATTTTTAAAAAGCTGCATATATTGAGTATGTACAATTTCATGTCCCACTCTTTTGAAAACATATAGTGTTTTTCAGTGTTGTCACAAACTTGCTAATAATCATTTTTGATGAGTCCTTCATGTTCCATTGAGAGGATATAGAATAATTTTTCTATCATCTTCTATTAGATATTGAGGTAGATTCCATTCCCAGTCACTCCTCCCCCACATTTATTTGCAGGGGGAGGGCAGGAGACATGTCCTTTCATGACACTTTTACTTTTTTACTTTCTATGGCTGTCTCCTCAGAGTAAAATCCCAGGGGAATTTTTGGTCCCATGTAAACTGGGTTTCATTGCCTGAGAAACGACATCTTTAATAAAGCTTGAGTCACTCTAATAACTGTTGTTATTTAGTTGCTAAGTTGTGTCCAAGTCTTTGCGACCACATAGACTGTAGCCCAGCAGGCTCCTCTGTCCATGGGATTTCCCAGGCAAGAATACTGGAGTGGGTTGCCATTTCCTTCTCCAGGGGGTCTTCCTGAGAGATAACCTCTAGTAGGCATATGGAGCTTACTTTGACTCTCATTCTCCCTTCCCCTCTTTTCGATGTTGAGGAGGTGTGGGTATAACTACTTTTTCCCCTAGAGCTCAGAGGTGTCTGGTGTAGCAGGCAGGGAAGTTGCATGGTGGCAACCATGGCTCATCTGCATCCTACTGATCTTTCTGAAAGGAGAATCCAAGGAAGTGAGGAATTCTGGGAGGCAAGAGCAGTCCCAGGGGGCAAGTGGTGGGCTCATGTTTTCTTCTTAAGCTACAGATTTCTGAGAACAAGCTGTTTATTTACTGTCCTGCCATGTAAAGGCCAGAGCAGGTTCATGCGAGCTAGTTTGTCAAATATCTAGAGTTTTCTGAAAACCTATGTTTCTAGACATTCTGAGCAACAGGGAAAAGTGGAAGGTGGGAGGGTAGAAATCCATATGTCAATGCTGATAGGTCTCTATTTAAATATAATCTACTCAATTCACAGATATAGAGAACTAAATAGTGGTTACCAGTGGGGAGAAGGGACAGGGAAGGGCAACATAAGGGGAGAGGATCAAGAGATACAAACTATTAGAAATAAAATAGGCTACAAGGATATACAGCATGGGGAATATAGCCAATGATTTATAATAATTATAAATGGGATATAACCTTTGAAATTGTTGATCACTCTATTATACACTTGTAATTAATATAATACTATACATCAACTATACTTCAATTTAAAAATAAAAAATATATATAATGGTTGGATGGCATCATCAACTCAATGCACATGAGTTTGAGCAAAATCCGGAAGATGATGAAGGACTGTGATGCCTGGCATGCTACAGTCCATGGGGTTGCGAAGAGCTGGACATGACTGAATGACTGAACAGCAAATTATCTGCTTCACGGTCTGTCCCCCCTCTCAGATCTACTTCTACTGGCTGTGCCGGGACACACATGCCTTTGAGTGGTTTGCGGACCTGCTGCAGCTGCTGGAAACCCAAATGCAGGAGAAGAACAACTCGGGCTTCCTCAGCTACAATATCTACCTCACTGGCTGGGATGAGTCTCAGGTAAAGACAAGATCCCCAATCTCAGTCCTCTCCCATAGCACCCAGGGCTTACCGACTTCCTCTTGGCTATTGGAGTGTCTTGTGTACTGGTTTTAAGACTAGTCAGTGGGTTTAGGTGATCCACCGCATTCACTCCGACTCAGTATGCCCATATGTTCAGACTGTTGAGACTAAATTCAAAGTTGGTATCTGTGGGACAGGTCAAAGCTAGTGAGCCTACAAAGAAGTCAGAGCCATGACTGTGACCTTGTTAGAGCAATGCTCCCACCAGGGGTATTGAACCAGGTGGATAAGATGATCCACTGGGTTATGGGAAGAAAACAAAATATTAGCTTTATCTCACTCTCCTTCTGTGTGTGTGTGTGTGTGTGTGTGTGTGTGTGTATGTGTGTGTGTGTGTGTGTATACATGTATATGTATATCGCTGTTGTTTAGTCACTAAGTTGTGTCCAACTCTTTTGTGACCCCATGGACTGTAACCCGCCAGGTTCCTCTGTCCCTCGGATTTCCCAGGCAAGAATACTGGAGTGGGGTTGCTATTTCCTACTCCAGGGGATCTTCCAGACCCAGGGATCAAACCCGTGTCTCCTTCATTGGCAGGCAGATCCTTTACCACTGAGCCCCCTGGGAAGCCCATAAATATGTATACACATGCATATATATGGGTATATATTCCTTTAATTTCTATTATGTATGTTTTATAATATACATAATACATTTAATAAGGAGTCATAATAACTGGTAATAGTTCTTCAGCATATGCTTGTGCCAAGTATTCTTCTTAGTGTTTATATAGATTGTCTAATTAAATCCTCACAACAACCTTATAAGTAGCTATTATCCTTATCCATATTTTACAGATAGAGAAGCCAAGGCCCAGAACCTGCACTCTTAACCACTTCCAGTAGTTCATGATAACCGTTTGTAAATAAATCAGTATATATCTAATGAAGGTGATATATGTGTGTATATATGTATACATGTGTGTAGTATATATACATATGTACTACATATGTGTATATATGTGTATATGTACACATATGTATATATACTCCCTCCTGAGACATTTAGCAATGAAATTGTGAATTTTAAATGGATAAAACAATTACAGCTACAAGTATTGATAAGATAACAATTCATGAGACAACCCCCCACCACAAAGAACTGCTGCTGCTGCTGCTAAGTCGCTTCAGTCGTGTCCAACTCTGTGTGACCCCAAAGACGGCAGCCCACCAGGCTCCGCCATCCCTGGGATTCTCCAGGCAAGAACACTGGAGTGGGTTGCCATTTCCTTCTCCAATGCATGAAAGTGAAAAGTGAAAGAAGTCGTTCAGTCATGTCTGACTCCCAGCGAACCCATGGACTGCAGCCTACCAGGCTCCCCCGTCCCTGGGATTCTCCAGGCAAGAGTACTGGAGTGGGTTGCCATTTCCTTCTCCGCCACAAAGAACTATCTGGCCTCAAATGTCTAAAGTGATGAGACTGAGAAACTTAGAAACAAGTTAATGATTCCTAGCAGGTAACATGTTTCTAAATAAGCAACCGTTAATGACTTGGCCCAGAAGCAGCATAACTGTCCTCCTCAGTGAGGAGCTAAGGCAAGAGTTTCTGGTCACTGGCTCAGCTGGCCACACCCACACACTGGCTCCTCATCAGAGACATTTTTCACATGTACCTTGTACCTGTGAAAACTGACTTCTCATTCAGGTTTTGACATATTGCCTATCATAAATTCTCCAAGTCTTCAGTAAGTCTTGTAGGTCCCATAGGTCCCACAAACATAGGTCCCGGGCCACATGACCATGAAAATTGCTGCTCTAGAAAAGTGGTTTTAAGATGTCACTTCTGCAATTTAAAGACATAACAACAACAAAATTTGATAAAAATGAAACCCAGGGGCAAAAATGTATAATATATAAATTGCTCTGCAGTTCTGTTTTTTCAAAAAGCCAGTTTTTTTTTATGGGAAATTTTTTGCATTGAAAAATAATTCTTTTGCTTTGCAAAACTTTGTGTCTATAGGATTATTAAACCAGAGAAACCAGCCCTCTTAACCTCTTCCATCCCCATTATCCATCCTCTGTCCAGTAAATTTAAAATCTGATTTAATTGTTAAATTTAATTAACCATTTTTACTAAAAAATACCTGTGGTTCAAACTGAGGCTCCTTGGAATGGTAACAGAAAGCAACCCCTCCCCCACCCACCCCCACACAGACTATTAATAGCTTTAGGCTTGGTTTGATGTCTCACTACATTAGCAAAATATGAGTGCATTTTAATCTATGATTGTCTTAATTTTTAGTTATTCTCTCAAAACAGTGGGAGTATATTCGGGACGGACTGCTAGATGTACTGCGGAGAGAAAAACAGTGAAACAGAATTTAAATCATACCCACACTTTAAAGTCTGGCTCAAATGCTGCCACCCTGAGACCTTCTCATATCCTCCGCTTGTCCTCCTTTCTTTGTTCTCATGGAGATGTTTGTGCCTCCTCTATGGCATTCATGGTACTTTAGTCTACAAACAGGATTGCCCACCTTTTTACTTCAAGGTCTCCCTTTCTAGACTATAAATGGCTTGAAATCAGTGTATTCAGTGTTATTGACCTTCTAGCTTCTGGCATAATGCCTTGCTTCAAATATGTACATTTAGAATGGGTAGTTAGAGCTTGGTTTGTGTGTGTTTGTAGAGCATGCCTCTTTTTTCTGAATTCATGTCCTTTCCTGTAGGCCAGTCACTTTGCTGTGCATCATGACGAGGAGAAAGATGTAATCACAGGCCTGAAACAAAAGACCTTGTATGGACGACCCAACTGGGATAACGAGTTCAAGACCATTGGAAGTCAACACCCCAAGTAAGGAGTTCCCCCAAAAGAGTGTTCTTTAGGCTTACCGTGGAAACTAAAATATCTAGATAACTATATTCACACTCATAAAAGGTTCTAAATATCTCTCACTTTAAGAAGAAGTCTTTAAATCACACCCAGAATTGACTGGTGAGTTCCAAACAAAGATTCCCAGGCCCCACCTCAGACTTTCTGAACCCTGCTGCCCCCAAGTAGGCCCGTAACTCAATTCTTTGCTTTTATCCCCTAAATTTCACTCATGTATCTGCTTCTATTAATTCAACAAGATTTATATTGTTTACTAAGGAGACACTGGCCCCATTTTCATGTATAGCTTTTGGGTCCTAGATCATAAGTTGACAGATACCCCAGGTCTTTCCTGCCCTAACTAAAGCTTTAGTCATTATGATGCTTTGAGGAGATCTTTTATCTCGTTAGAACACATGACAAACTCAAGAAATCACCATAAATATACTATGTCATTGCTTCTTACACTTAAATGAACAGGTAAATCACTTGGAGGAGCTTTCTAAAACGCTGATTTAGTATATGTGGGGTGGGGCCCAAGAATCTGCATTGTTGGCTTTGAATGGCTTTTTGAGTTTTCTTGAAATCTTAACATGAACAAGGAATTGGAAATACAGTCACATCAAAGAACAAATCATCACAGCTTTGACATTTAAGCCAAACAGATATTTTAGGGCAGATTTGAAAAAAGTGTGAAGTCATAACAATTTAAAAACACAGGTGACCTACTTCAATAATATGTATTCTTGAAAAGCTGACACCAGGGCTACTGGTCTGAAACCACAGCTAGAGGAACAAGGCTTTAGAGTCTAAAAAGTTGAAGGACGAAGCCGCACCAAGTTGTTAGCAGAGTTGCCGTTCCTAAGGCGGGTTTGTTCCTGACTTTAAGACACTGGAGGGACTTCCCTGGTGGTCCAATGGTTAAAAGTCCGCGCTTCAAGTACAGGAGGGTGTGGTTCGATCCTGGGTCACGGAACTAAGCTCTCACATGTCCCATGGTGTGGTCAAAATAATTTAAAAAAAAAAAAAAAAAAGATGCTGGAGTGTTTGAGAACACAGAGCCCTGAAAGGAAGTAGACCACAGACTCACAATTTCACCACCATTTTCTCTGTGGTAGAAGTTTCCATAAACCTTGCTTGAATGTCTTTTTTTTTTCAATAAAGTCAGCTGCCTTTTGAAGTAGCCAGCTGCCCCCGTGAACAGGACCAAGCCACCCTCCTGAGGGCCACCTGAACTCTGTCATTTGTGGAAAGACAAAGGAGCTAAGGAGACTCTGCTCTGAGGCCTAAAATCAATAGGAAATCTCCCCATGTGCTTTGTAATTGATCCCATCCCAAAGCCTAAAACTGTCTTTTTCTTTCTCTTTTTCTCCCCAAAAGTACCAGAATAGGAGTCTTCCTCTGCGGACCGGAAGCCTTGGCTGACACCCTTAATAAGCAGTGCATCTCCAACTCCGACTCTGGCCCCAGGGGAGTGCATTTCATTTTCAACAAGGAAAACTTCTAACTGGTCCCTTCCATGAGGAAATGAATGTGGGTTGTACCACTGAATAACCAAGTAATGCTAGTGGATAATATAAGTTCCTTCCTTAAAAAAAAAGAAAAAGAAACTGTGATATGATGACTTTCCCTGAAAGGAATGTCAAAGATTTTTAATGGTGATAAATTTGCATTTGTATTGAGCTTTGTGGTTTTCAGAGCAATTATATAAACTTTTTTTTTCATTTTTTTTCCCCTTCACAGTAATGCCAGAGAAAGGTAGGGCAAAGATTCTCAGACTCAGTTTTCAGGGTGAAAAAAGGTTCAAAATGGTGAAGTAACCTCCCTAAGATTAAAGCTGAGACCGGCTCTAGGCCATCTGACTCTAGGTTTGGTGATCTTTCAGCAATAGCAGGTTGCCTGGAAATTGGTTGGTATACTCCCCCAAAGAAGAAGCAAACCAGGGAATAATTATTCATATTCCCTTTTGTGTCATCTTTGTTATCACTACTGTCCTATTGAAGGAAATTTTCCAAGTAGGAGGTAATTTATACTGAGAGTGATTCATCACTTAATAGTGACAACATCCTCCAGTTTACCAATAGAGCAGCCTAACTGGGTCAGAGATTTCTCCTAAAAAAGAATATTACACTGACTGGATGTATGTATGACCCACCATTTACACTGGTGCTTGACAAAGAGTGGATACTCATTGAAAGTTAACTGAATGAATGAATGAAAAAACATTTAGAACCATACAGTGCCAAGGTAGAATCAACTGAAACCCTTAAACAATATTATCTGAGGAAATCACTTCCAATACTCTAGTTGACCAAACGAGCCTGATTCTCTTAAGGGTACAGAACAGGCTAAGGTTAGTAACCAATAGGTTGTCCTGTCCAAACACTCTTATTTGAAGCATTGCACCAAAGGGAGATGAAGGCAGAGAAATGAACTCCTCTCATAACTCTGGCTGGCTCCGTTGGTCCTGCTCCTGATACTATGAGAGAAATGCAAACTAATTTATTGCCCAAAACAGTCCTCTCCAGCCAGCACTTGTGAATTTGAAATTAAGAATTGTGACAAATATGTATCTGACATCTGCTTTAAATAGCATCCACCCTTTGTTTTACTTAAATACACATGCAAAATTGATCTTACTGGTGTAACTAATGATTTATCCTTCTATAATCATGATCATGATAAAATTTACATCCCAGAAACTAAAATCCCTAGCTTACTATGTAGCTTTTGAATTCATATCCAATAGCATATTCTAGATATTCATGAGTCCAAGAATCTCTAAATCATGGTTAAAGTAACTGCTCCTATTTCTGGGAACTAAAAACAGCTTTATTTGTTATATTCTCTGGGGCCACAGATATTTAGAAGTAGTCAACTTTAATAATGAGAAAGAAGGAGAAAGGAGCAGAGGGGAAGGGCAGAAGACCAGGTTAGGAGGAAAGGGGAGGGAAGGAGGGAGAGAATAGAAGGAAAGTTAGAGAAAGCCAAAAAACAAAAAGGGAAAAGGGAAGGGTAGGGGAAGGGGGTCACTTTCTACCCCAGATTTCTTAAAGTCTTGTATGTATTGAATGTAATTTCAGGAGCCATATACATACTCATTTTATTTTGATCACATAAAGTATTGAATCTGAAATTCTGGCCACAAATTTGATGCTGAGTGGGCCTATTCAGGGGACCGAACTGAACTAGAAAGAACTCAGTTGTTCCATTGGGTCCCCAGGATGCCCAGGGCACTGAAGGCATCAAGTCAGGCTTGCTTTGGGAAGGTCATTTCCCCACGATGTCCAGGACTGTTTCTTCAAAGAGAAACTTAGGTCCACCCCATTCACACTGCACCTGAGGTATCAGTTCATTCATTCAACAAATTTGTATTGTGCTATTGCTATGACTCAGGCTCCGTATTTGTGGTTTCATTTCTTTATGACAAAGTGCGAGCCAGAAGGGGGACCAGGGTTACAGGGAGTCTGAGAATCTGGGCCCTTGCTCCCTATGTGGCATAAGTAAAACCAACTTCATTTGTTGCTCTGAAAATATCTCTCCAGGGTTTTCTATTTTTGACACCCAGAGAGTTACGCCCTGTGTTTCCTGGTTATAAGATGGAAAATGAGTGTAAACATGCTTGTCATTATAAGAGCTTCCTTCCTGCTCCCCAGCCGCTGGCTGCCCATGCAGCCTTTTTAGCATTTAGTATTTAGTAACAGTTACTGAGAGAACGATTAAGCATTATTTTTAATCTCAAAGCTATGAAGGCATTTCTTATTTCTTTTGCTTTTGCAACATTGTGTTTATTAAATTTGAATACTTGTAGATGTTGTGTGTGAATAGTTTGGGAGTGGGGGGCCCTGGGAGATAATTCTTGGGAAGAACTATCAAAATTGTGCTCAATTATTAAAATGAATGAGCTCTCTCTGTGTCTGTGTTATTGATCTTCGTATTCAAGGATGGACTCAGAGGGCATAGATTTTCTCTGCCCCAGTGGGATTGAGATAGATGTTTTCATAGATGACATGTCAGTTCAGTTCAGTTGCTCAGTCGTGTCTGACTGTTTGCAACCCCATGAACCTCAGCACGCCAGGCCTCCCTGTCCATCATAAACTCCCGGAGTTTACTCAAACTCATGCCCATCAAGTCAGTGATGCCATCCAGCCATCTCATCCTCTGTCGTCCCCTTCTCCTACTGCCCCCAATCCCTCCCAGCATCAGGGTCTTTTCCAATGAGTCAACTTTTTGCATGAGGTGGCCAAAGTATTGGAGTTTCAGCTTCAGTATCAGTCCTTCCAATGAACACCCAGGACTGATCTCCTTTAGGATGGACTGGTTGGATCTCCTTGCAGTCCAAGGGACTCTCAAGAGTCTCCTCCAACTCCACAGTTCAAAAGCATCAATTCTTCTGCACTGAGCTTTCTTTATAGTCCAACTCTCACATCCATACATGACCACTGGAAAAATCATAGCCTTGACTAGACAGACCTTTGTTGGCAAAGTAATGTCTCTGCTTTTTATTTATTTTTTATTTTTTTTAATTATGTTGAAATACAGTGGCAATATTAAAATTTTTTTATTATTTTTTTAATTTATTTTTATTAGTTGGAGGCTAATTACTTTACAATATTGTAGTGGTTTTTGTCATACATTGACATGAATCAGCCATGGATTTACATATATTCCCCATCCCAATCCCCCCTCCCACCTCCCTCTCTACCTAATCCCTCTGGGTCTTCCCAGTGCACCAGGCCCGAGCACTTGTCTCATGCATCATGTCTCTGCTTTTTAATATGCTGTCTAGGATGGTCATAACTTTCCTTCCAAGGAGTAAGCATCTTTAATTTCATGGCTGCAATCACCATCTGCAGTGATTTTGGAGCCCAGAAAAATAAAGTCAGCCACTGTTTCCACTGTTTCCCCATCTATTTGCCATGAAGTGATGGGACTGGATGCCATGATCTTTGTTTTCTGAATGTTGAGCTTTAAGCCAACTTTTTCACTCTCCTCTTTCACTTTCATCAAGAGGCTCTTTAGTTCTTCTTCACTTTCTGCCATAAGGGTGGTGTCATCTGCATATCTGAGGTTATTGATATTTCTCCCGGCAATCTTGATTCCAGTCTGTGCTTCCTCCAACCCAGCATTTCTCATGATGTACTCTGCATATAAGTTAAATAAGCAGGGTGACAATATACAGCTCTGATGTACTCCTTTGCCTATTTGGAACCAGTCTGTTGTTCCATGTCCAGTTCTAACTGTTGCTTCCTGACCTGTATACAGGTTTCTCAAGAGGCAGGTCAGGTGGTCTGGTATTCCCATCTCTTTCAGAATTTTCCACAGTTTATTGTGATCCACACAGTCAAAGGCTTTGGCATAGTCAATAAAGCAGAAATAGATGTTTTTCTGGAACTCTCTTGCTTTTTTGATGATCCAGTAGATGTTGGCAATTTGATCTCTGGTTCCTCTGCCTTTTCTAAAACCAGCTTGAACATCTGGAAGTTCATGGTTCATGTATTGCTGAAGCCCGGCTTGGAGAATTTTGAGCATTACTTACTAGCCTGTGAGATGAGTGCAATTGTGCAGTAGTTTGAGCATTCTTTGGCATTGCCTTTCTTTGAGATTGGAATGAAAACTGACCTTTTCCAGTCCTGTGGCCACTGCTGAGTTTTCCAAATTTGCTAGCATATTGAGTGCAGCACTTTCACAGCATCATCTTTCAGGATTTGAAATAGTTCAGCTGGAATTCCATCACCTCCACTAGCTTTGTTCATAGTGATGCTTCCTAAGGCCCACTTGACTTCACATTCCAGGATGTCTGGCTTTGGGTGAGTGATCACACCATCGTGATTATCTGGGTCATGAAGATCTTTTTTGTACAGTTCTTCTGTGTATTCTTGCCACCTGTATTTAATATCTTCTGCTTCTATTAGGTCCCTACCATTCTAAATCTGGCACAATTTCTGGGTTGAGTAAGGAAAACTAAGTACTGAGTTCTGTACTGATATCCGGGTAACACTCACAACACTGGTACGAGGAAATGGACAAGAGAGTATCACCTGATATTGTAGATAGAATTTCAAAGGCAAAGAAGCCCTAGTATAGCAACCTTTTTTTTTCCATTTCCACTCATCTTTTAGGTTCTAACTTTGCAATTAGGTTCCATCAAATCAGGTTGTGAATAGATATACACTCATGGTTCTGCATCGGTCATTGTTCTACATGAGTCAACCAATTATGATCCCCCCATCTAGGAAAGCGATAGAGATGTGGGCATATGTTCCTGCAGGGGTTAGCAAATGCTGCCATGGAGGGAAAGGTCATTAACTGAAACAAACATCAGCAACATCAATAGCTAATCTTTAATAAACACCTTCTACTATGTCAAATGTTTTAATCCCTCAGAATTTTGCAAGGTAGTTGTGTGCGTGCGTGATAAGTCGCTTCAGTCGTGTCCGACTCTTTGCAACCCTACGGACTGTAGCCTGCCAGACTCCTCTGTCCATGGGATTTTCCAGGCAAAAA